GAAACTGCTCCAGACTGCAACATGTGAGTCACAGCAGGCTTTAAATACATGTTTTGTCCTCCCTCCTGTGATTTCTGTAGGTTTACAGGCTGGTTGTTGCTCAGCAGTCTGACAGATTAGCTCCCACATATCTCCAGCACTGACAGATCTAACGCCTCAGTTTGAGGATTACAGCAGCAGGTCGGCGTACTGCGCTGTCACACTAAATATATGAGTTTCAGGGTTGAAGAAGAGAATTTGAAGCCCTCCCGAAACCACCGAGTCCAAAAGTGTTGAGGAAGTGTTTCAGAAGTAGAAGAACAAACTGTCCAAGAATGTACTCGTAAAAATGAGCCATCATTTTTCACTGAAACCACTTTTAAATACTTGGACACTAACCATAAATCTATAATGATGCATGTATATATACAAATATAAATTTCCCTTGATTTCCTTATATGTTGCGTTCCCGCCATCGTCGCCCTGCAAACACAATGCTACTCTCTCTTTAGAAATAAAGTCCTCAAACATCACAGACAGATCGCTGCTAGCATCCAATAAATAACCAAAAGTTTAACTAAAAAAGCATCCATAAATATGTAAACCATTCAAGAATCTGCAAAAGAATTACCAGTACATATAACACAGAAAACACCAACATATTTTTAGAAATGATCACCCTTACTTGTCCAACATCCAATTAACAAGCTAATGGCATTACAACAGGAGAAGTGATCAGTTACTATAAAACAGGACGCAAATGATTTCAGAGCGCGCAGCAGACCCGCCACAAAGACTCGCTCTTAGTCACCGTGGAAACCCCAGTAAAACCTGCTGATGAGCAGAAGGCCTCTGTCTCATTGAGCCAGGAAACAACAGTAAACACATGTGTTTGTATGGCTGTGAGGGGTTGGGGTGAAGAAGGACCCCCCACACTGATGAGTCTCAGAAAGGAATCTGAGCTGCTTTTAAAGAGCATTAGCATGAAAAACGCTCCACTTCTGGCTGTGGGTTGGAGCTCCGTTGTGCCAAAAACAAAAACAAAGCAATAGGAAAAAAATGCTTTAACAAAAGAGAATCTGTTTCACGGCTCTGCTGATGGGCTGATGGTTGCTTTCTTTATCTGAGGAAGAGCTTTACCGCTGTGTTTTACAGTCGGGGAGGGTCAAGCAAAGCAAAGAGCTGGCTGAGCATCCCTCGCCTCTGGGGTTACCGCGGCGGCGGGGACATACGGTGACAAACAGAAACCCGTTTGTTAAATGTCACCCGGTGGTGTCGTCACCGGAGCTCCGAGCAGGTCAGAGGGTCAGGCGGAACGCATAACCCGCAGAGAGAGCAACGAGGCCTGGCCACAGTCTGCGGGGAGGCTCGGTCAGAGAACCAGCTGTTTGTCTGCTGGACACAAATTATCCAGATAAAAGGACAAGACAGGATGTAATGCACAGTGCTGTGAATTAAATCTATTGATGTGTTATGTTTGTGCATATTTTTTTACTTAAATATTTTAGATCATCACCTACCATCAGGTAAGTTTGGATCATTTTTCCCCCAATAAAGGAAATCATCATTTGTATTTACTACTCATTGTTGTTTAATATTAAAAAATGTTCAAGGCATATCAAATGTGCAAAAAGCGAAGAAATGAGAAGCTAACAAATCCTTTTTCACAGCCCTGCACCTTCACATTAATGATGTGTTTACAGTAATCACACAGAGGTTGGACAGGTTCTTAGAAATTCAAAGAAACTTTCTGACACATTTTAAAACTGCTTGGTGGTTTCAAGGGTGCAGATCTGATCATGAGACTGTGCTGAATCCAAAATAAATCAAAGCTGTAATCTGTGTGCACCGCTAAGCAGCAAATTAAACGGAAGCATATTGAAACATATCTCCTAAAAAGACGAAGCTCGTTTATTAGAAGTGGTACCATTTAATTCAGACCACAATAAATACCAAAAGAAAAACAGACAATCTTACAAAATAAAAATAAACTTTCCATTTTGAATATTATTAGAAGACTCCGTTTAGTGTAAAGCAAGGTCAAAAATCAGGTGGCACAAGTTGTTATATAACAAAAGATTAAATTCACAGATTTCTGAATGTAGTCTGGTTTACTGAAATCTTATAAAAAGTAGGTAAACTAAAAGTAACATAGTCGTTTAAAAAAATAATTAAAGAAAACTAAAGACTTAAAAACTGATTTTTCTGTTTCATTTTTTGTATTAATATATAAATTGAAGAGGTTTTCTTTATATACCAGTGCTTGGTAGATGTATTAATATCATGATAGGCAATGATTTAGAAGCAGCTATAAAACTGAACATTTCTGATATATATTTAAAACATGCGCTGCTGAGTTTGTCTATTTCCTCAGAGAAAACCATCGAATGAAGGACAAAAAAGGATCTGAAGGCATGTTCTAGACAATTAATCACACAAAAAACAGTTTAATGATTAATGAAAGCAGCCAGAGCCACAGCAGACTGCATTTCACTGTATTAAAGTGTGACAGCACTCATGGAAAAGCACCAATCTGTCACAGCAGCTATGACTGCACCAATGACTGCTTTGGATCTAGTACTGAAGTAGGGCTAAAGTATTCTTGTATCCGAGCATATTTATCCTAAGAAACAGCAGCACTTTAACCTCACTGTCACTAAAGTACCATTATAGAAATATTATGAGACATAAGCACCACAAGTACACTGCAGAAAACACTCTAAATACTGCACCAATACCACAGCAAAGGCAGTATCTCTGTACAGTAGACCAACTTATCAAGGATACTAAAAGCACAAACATAATGAATATTCCAGAAATCTCACTGCACAGCAGAATACCGGGAAACCCCAATAAAAGCTCAGTCCAAAGAATCTCACCAGCCACCGGTATACCTCGAAACCGGGGGTCGTTTTAGTT